TAGCCCTTTTAGAGGTACGTTGTGGTGGTGATATAAAAATAGACTGCGCAAATAAAATAACGCAGATAGGGAAATGTTACTTCTTAAACCACGTACTAGGTGAAAAAGGGGGTATAACAATCCTTGAAGGATTGATTTGTGATATGCATCGAGTTAGACTTAGTAAAAAAAACTTGACTCATAGTAACGTCAAGCAATCCTTCGGGGATTGATGGGATAGGTTGACCATTTTTGGTCAAGAATTCATTGTCAAGATTCATCCTAAAAGGATGACTTAGAGAATTAAAATCCTTAATCTACCTTCTGGGCAAATAAATATACAAAACAATGAGGGCTATAAATTTAAATATCATATGCCCAAATCTCATGTCAAAAAGTTTCTATAGCAGAAACTAGCACTGTAAACATGTCATAGCCTTTAACTATTATCACATGCAAGCTAAGGTTTAGCAACGACAGGTGCAACCTAACCATATTGAGAATTCATGATATTGCCACACTTATAAGTAGGGTGATGAATCTCAATAGCTATGGCCTATAGCAAATAATTAATTGCCAACAAGAAATAACAAAAGCTGTTATATGAGCCTAATCAAGAGATTATATGCTAAAAGTTGTCAATTAAAGAGAAGCATGCAATAGCATGTGATATAATTGTCCCTTATGTCTTGGACACCAAACTCTCTATTGAGTCATGCACATCCATTAAAGAGTATCATGTTTGGTACACACAAGGCATGACATGACAAGAGATATTGTTTATTAATTCATAAATTAGAAAAATGAGAGAAGTACCGTTCGTCGAAGAATAATGAGCACATGTTCGCTGCCGGGCCCATTCATTCCTATTTCGGGGAGTCAAAAATAGCACTTTTCCAAGCAAGCTCTCATTTTATTTCATAGTTTCATATCAGCATGAAAACATCACAAAACAGCAAGATATACAAGCTGAAGACGGCAGAAAATTTTTAGAATTTTGACCTGGATTGCAGGATTTTCTGGGGGAAAACGGTAACACATTTTGACACAAAGTTTGGCAGATATGTAGTTCAGCAAGTCTAGAACGTACATAAAAATTTTCATCTCAATCCAAGGTGTGGAAGTATTTTTTTCTGAAATTTTTCACAACATTGCTCCAGGCAGAAAAATAATTGGCAGCACACTGCCAAAACTTTACAAATTTTTCTGGAATAACCAAAGCATATTTTTAACAAAATATTTTTACAGACATCAAATATCACGAGTCTAGGTTCTCCAGAAAAAATTTCATGCCAAAAGGAGTTCAACAAGTATTTTTCACGAATTTAATTTTCAAACTGCGCCTGTCAGAATTTTCAGGCAGTGATTACTATGTGTAAAAAAAATCACAACTTGTTTGCTTCAGGCAAACCAACATGATGTGAGTCAATTTTAACTTTTGGACAGTAGCATAGCATTAGAAATAGAAGTTGCAAACTTCATTCATGAGTCATAAATCACCTTAAAGATCAATCCCATTTGAGGTCTTATAGACCTTTATTAAAAACGATCCAATGACCAAGCATATTTGCCAAGTAGGAAAGGCACGGAACTCATAAAGTACATTCCAACAAAAAAAACTAAAATTTTGATGTCTTTTTAAAAAAACAATGACATTCAAAATACTTATTATAATCTGGTCATGTACTACTACAGGAGTACAAGGTGACTATCACATATGACAATGAGACGCACACTATTTTAAATAATTTTTAGTTATGTACTTCTACTAGAGTACAACGGATTCATGTACAATCCGAAAAGGTACCATCCGGGAAGTAAAAACCCGTCCAGAAAATTAAACATAGAGAAGTAAATTCTAAATTGTCAAATAATTTCGGGTGACCCACGAGAATTAACTTCTCAGATCATGCGTCCATTTTGTACATTAATGGATCACAATAATTTATTGATCATAGGATCATACGATCCTTCAGGGATCAACTTAGACTCTAAATCTTTTCGATCAAATATTCATAACCGATGGTTTAGACTAAAAGGTGTCAAATAAAAATTAGTGCTCTAAGTGTTTACCTTCTGGGCAAAACAATATTGAAAATATGCACTTTTATTGTGTTCAAATACTCACATTTGAGATATTCAAGATTCAAGACTCATGCCATATAATTTTATGATAAAAATTAGCACCATCAATATGCATGAATTTGGAAAAATAAATCATTTGACTTCCAAAACAGAATTAACTCAATTTGACATTAGTCATATAAATTGTCGTAGTGTTATTATCATATAACTAGTGCTATGAATTCGCCTTCTGGGCAATGCTATGTGTAAAATTCATGTTGTAACCACTTGTTGATCATGACAATCCTACAAGGACTATCGTATAATAAGTATATAAATCAATGACTTTAATTTTTCATCTGGGCAAAGCACCCATTAACATTTATAATAAATCTTAACATATATGGCCTATAGCAAATAATTGTTATGTCACATTTTCTTCTATGATATACACATAGCCATATTGCATAAGAGAGCAAATTGTGGCACAACAATAATTGTCATGTAATAATCAGTAGTGTCACAACATTATATATTTCAATTAAGCTCTCAAAAAAAATTAGGCATCAACAGGATGGACATGCATATGACATATTATTATCTTAAATAATAAGCATAGTCAAAATTATCTAAAAAGATAATCACTCATCTAAGTTCAAGTAATCTATGCCTTTTACCACATTTCAGTTTATAATTTGACATGGTATAACAACATTATGCAATATGATTGTATTGCCTAATAATAATAATAATTTATTGACATAATTCAAGGCAATAATATGAAGTGCATAATCAATCAAGTAGGCATAGATGATGTAGCAGTTTTAATCAAGTAGGATCAAAGACAAAGCTCGCTAGAGTATGGTCGAAACTCTAGCATGATTTTCCAACCTTTGATTTGATTTCAACTGTATTTCTATGCTAAGAAGTGTACTCCCACAAGCTAATTTTGCTTTGATACTGGGTTTATAATATGCATACGCACATATACATACAAAAAATTAGTCATAATGCATATGTTATCAGGTTCTGGAAATGGATAATACAAACACACATATCCTTATTAACATGGTTAAAAAAAATTATCAAACTGGATTCTGTTTGCTGCCTCATTGCCACGACTAAGTGGATTATTAGCAACAGAAGAAATCAAAGGGACATTACCAATACTTAGCCAATTAAGAGCATTAACACTAGGACCACTAACACTTTGTGATTCATTAACAGTGGTATTCATATTATCAAGACCAGAAAATCAGAAACAATAGCACTATCACTAGCAGGAACACTAAGTACTGGTAGTGTGGTTTGAGTAGCTCCATCAAAGGTCCTATGACCAGCCAAATTACCAAAGGTAGGCCGATTAGGAACAATGATTTCATGTGTTCTATGACCAGCCAGATCACTTTGGACCAGCCGATTAGAAACAATTGCAGATGATAAGCTCACCACACCAGTACTTTAAAGTGTGACCAGAAAATAGAAGTACCTTGAAGAGCCCCAATCTCCAACCACTGTGATAATCGCCGGCCTGGAGCCTCTGTTGGTTAGAGCTCGTGCTGATAACGTGTTAAAAGGAAAAAAATAGAATAGTGAATAGAGAGATGAGGGAGAAAGGATGATAGTCTCTTCATTATCATCTTCATCTACAACAAGCTAAGTATAGAGTATATATACATAATACAAAGGTATTAAATTGATGCAATAAATGTATAACAGTTACATACGTTACAATAATAATGTCCATAATGATGATGAATTATAACAGGATTGCATATTTTATATACTATATGTACCCATGACCTTTGGCATGGCTCTGATTCCAAATTAAAGGACGTGCTTAATTTCAATTAAAAGACTAAGCTTATAGTTTGATTGCACATTTATGTTTATATAAACACTATATGCTCAATAAATCAAAGTTGAGAGATTTTCAAATTTTAAAATCATGCATAAATCGTAATGATTGACGTATGAATTTGATGAATTTAAGCTATTGAAAAGAAAAAAAGAAAAAAGAACAATCGAGAGATAAATTCAACAAAAGGATCAATGAATTTAGGCTAAAAATTTAATTTGTTGAATTTCTTCAGGAGACAAACTTTTGGTTCATAAAATATTATTCAGAAGGTGTTTATTATTTTAATAGAATTTTAACATACAATATTTATTATAAGTAAGGGAAAATGGCACTTTTTCCCCCTTTGTTATATACTTATAGCACTTTTCCCCCCTAAATTATTTAAGTGGCAGTTTTTCCCCCTGATATATTAAATGGACATATTTACCCTTAAAATAAATATTTCATTTATTTTTCTTCTCCAACAAATTATAACCACGATTTGAAAAAATAAAATACATTAAGTGTTAAATTTAGAATATTTTAAAAATAATAAAAAAAAAATTTAAAAGAAAGTTTGAACCAACCGTTCAAATTGGATCCAAAATCGTGAACCGACGGTTCAAAATAAAACTCAAATCGCGATTATATATACTTATATGTGAGAGTCAATATAAATGCGGAAAAAAAAAACATGCACTATTTGCAAATATTATAATTCTAATTTAAGCTATTGCTAGTAGTTGTTCCGATTTGAACCTCCGGTTCACGGTTTAGGATCCATTTTTTTCCAGTTCACGATTTTAATAAACGGAAACCCAAATATTGGGTTATGTTATGAATCATAACCGAAATTTTTTAATTTGATTGCTATAGTGTTTGGTTCAGTTCGAACCAAACCGTGGTCATCCCTACGTATAAGCAATAATTTGGTGAAGAAGAGAAATAAATAAAATATTTGTTTTAAGGGTAGAAATGTCCATTTAATATTATCAGGGGGAAAAACCGCCACTTCTATAATAATTGAGGGGGCAAATGTGAATGCATGAATAACTCAGGGGGGAAAAGTGCTATAAGCATATAACACAGGGGGAAAAAGTGCCATTTTCCCTATAAGTAATTTATTACATATAAAAACAAAACACAATCCATGAGTATTAAAGTAATAAAGCTATGATGAGTTCTGAGGTTGTTGTTGGCGTGGGTGGTTACAGTATAATTATGAATTATGGATAGGGACTAAGGGCTGTTTCCCTCCATACAGGTCTGGGAGCTGTCTCTCATCGATCAATTCCAGTAGTGTTGATGTCAATACTCTATTATCCACAAACATAATCTGCACCACTCAATTATGGTACATTATTTATGAGAAATTATACAATGTGGATGGTAAGTTGTCAAATACTAAAAACAGTAAAAAATAAAATAAAATGTGATACATTCTGTAATTTAGAAAACAAAAATTAAATAGAAAGCTTTAATATTATCAAATTATAAAATGTACTCTTACTATTCTCATTATTAGCATTATGATTTATCGATTTAGCATGAAAGCACACCTATTTATAGCATATTTGGCAGATGAGAATTGCAATCTTTTTTTTATTACTTAATATCAAAAAGTAAAATTTTCAAAATTTGACAGAAAGAAATTGTAATTATGTGTAATTGTAATTCCACAATTTTGAGAAATTAAATTACAAATCCTACCTAGGGATGGCAACGGGGCGAGGTGGGGACGGGAAGTCCCGTCCCCGGCGGGGAATTTAAAATATTCCCCATTCCCGTCCCCGCGGAGAATTAGGCGGGGACGGAGATTCCCCATTCCCCGTCAACTTTTAGTCAAAATGTTAAATAATTTTAAATTTTAATAATAAAAATTTTAAAATATAAGTCTTAATTTCAAAAATTAAAATATTAACACTCTCTCTATATAGATATGTAGCATACTGCCTGTATATATAGTACAGTGCAATAATAATGCTGCCACTTGTATATATATTGTGGCAACAGTAATTATATATATATATATATATATATATATATATATATATATATAGTTAATTACATGCATATAAATATAGTTCGAGCCTCAGTGGAGGCGTTATTAGCTCTTTGTGTTTCAGTAGGTTGAGAAAGTATATGAACAGATACTACAATGTAATAGAGCTAGTAGCATTCAAAAAAAAAAAAAATTACATGCATATATAAATATAGTATATTGTTAGTGTAGTGTTAGTATAAGTGCAATACTGCCACTTATATAGTATACTGTTTTATACATATTGTCACTATTATATTTATTATATATACTGTTTTATATATAAATGCAATATTGTCACTATTATATTTATTTAATTAATTAATTATTTATTTATTCGGGGACGGGACGGGGCGGGGCGGGGAGGGATGTCCCCGTCCCCGTCCCCGTCCCCGACGGGGAATCACAAATGTTCCCCGTCCCCGTCCCCGTTCCCCTAAAATCTTCCCCATCTCCGTCTCTTTCGGGGCGGGGAGCGGGGATCCCCGTCGGGTACGGGGCACATTCCCATCCCTAAATTCCTACCTCTCATAGGAATTACAATTTCATGATAGGTGAAAAGAAAAGTTGGGTTGTAATGACCAAATTATCTCTCTTTAACAATATTCCTACATCCTCTTTTAGGAATAGCAAATTTCATGCACATTTTGATGTTTATACTATTATTCCCTTCAATTTTCATGTAAACTAAACATTTAAATAAAATATTCATAGTAAATATACTCATTCCAACCAAACAATATAATTTGAATTTATACTTTATTGTCACATGCATTATTTAATTTGTCTTCCATAATATTTCAATTCTTTTCTCCCTAATCCTTCAATTCACTGCTGATTGTTTGATTGAAAGGAATTAAAATTCTTTTCCTATCTAATTCTTTAACATTAAAATTATATTTGTTGGGAAGGAATTGCGCAATTCCGCTAAATTGCAATTCTCTCATTCTATGGAATTGCAAACTCAAAATCCTACCCCTCCCCAAAGAATCGCAATTCCAAACTAAATCGGAAGAAAAAAGGTGTTGTATGGACAATTCTACTCCTCGCTCTTCATAGAAAAAGGAGTAATTATTATTATTATTATTATTATTATTATTATTATTATTATTATTATTAGAGTTAACCTTCAATTGGCGGAAGAATTAACATTGGAAAGATTTCGAAAGTCAAGTGTCTAAATTGTCCAAATTAAAAGTCGGGGACCAATTGTGGAAAATCAACATAGTCGGAGGACCAATGGCGGAATTAACTCTTACTATTACTAGGACATTTTAGTCTTTATATCACTTCTTCCATTTCAATTCCCTTGTTTACCAAATACTTATATTTGTGCCTACTAAACAATAAAATTTGAATTCCAGTATAATTATCACTTTATTCCTTTTGGCGAGGCGAAAAATACTAAAATTCTCTCTCTAGAATGCTAGGGTTTTGCTTTCTCTCCTAGGGTTTGTCTAGGGTTTTGCAAATTTCAATACTTTTCCCGGATTGTAATCCGTTTGTTTAGTGTCGAAGCTTCTGGTTGGATTGTGTTGGATCATGCGGCTTGTGTCTGACGTAATTCTGTTCGCCTACATTGTAATCCCGTGTGTCGCGACGTGAAGGAGCGTTGGTTGTCGGTTAGTGCGGTTTGTAGCCTGCGTTGGTTGGTTGTCAGTTGTTCTGCGCTTTGTTTTCTGGTTGGTCTGTGTGGTCCGCATGGCTTTTGTAGGAGGGGAGGAGCAGGTCGTGAATTTGGCAGAAAGGTGGGCAGACATCACTATTGAAGATGAAGAGGGTTGTTTTGTGCCGAATGATGTAAGGGTGGAGGCAGATGCTGAGCCCCCAATACAAACATGGAGTGTTGTGGGCAGATTTTTGACAGCGAAATTGGTTAAGCTAGAATACATGAGACAAGTTTTGGCTTCGATTTGGCAACCGGTGATGGGTGTGACGTTGACAGATATACAGAAGGGTTTGTTTCTTTTCGTTTTATTCCATAAAACGGATGTAGATTATGTTCTCGATGGAGGGCCGTGGGCATTTGAGAATAGTACCTTGGTGTGTCGCCTAGTTGATGATGGGGTGTTGCCGGTTAATGTAGTCTTGAACACTGTTGACATGTGGGTGCAATTTCATGATGTGCCTATGGGGTATACATCACAGCCGATACTTGAGCAGATGGGAAATTTCATTGGAACCTTTGTAAAGCATGATGAGAGGTTCGCGGGGGCGCCATGGTTAGCGTTTTATCGTATCCGTGTGTCGATCCCAGTTGACAAGCCATTGCGGAGGCGTATGAAGTTGTTGAAACGTGATAAAACTACGTGTTGGGTTAACTTCAGATACGAGAGACTACATTCCTTTTGTTTTTTCTGTGGTTTGATGGGGCATTCCTACAAATTTTGCATGAAAGCTCGGGTTTCTATGGTTTCGGTTCAGCAGTATCCATATGGGCCGGAGATGAGGGTGGGGGGAAGTAGGGGACCGAGGGAGGTGGGGGAGAACTAGTTGGTGCCTGTGGGTGGTAGGCCGAGAGATGTGGAGGGGGGTGCGGCGTTGGGAGTTCGGGTGGGTGTGCCAAGGGTGGAGGGGGAGCGGGTGGTTTCGGGAGGTGGTGTAGTTGTTGAGCCGGTGGTGGAGGCGGTGGCGAAAAGGAGAAGGGAGGAGGGGAATGAGGGGGGGAGGCGGATTGGGGAGGAGGACATAGCTATGGCTAATGTGTCAAAAAACTTGTTCATGGCGGGTACTGCTGCGCAGTCCCGCCCGTCATTATGAGTACTTTATGTTGGAACTGTCGTGGCTTGGGCAATCCACAGACAGTTCGGGAGGTGGTGGACATGGTGTCCAGTAAGAAGCCGGATTTTGTATTTTTGATTGAGACAATGGTGAAGAGTGATCATGCGGAAAGATTACGTGTAAAGCTAGGGTTTGAGGGGGTTTTTTATGTGGACCCTGAACGACAGCGTGGTGGTTTGGCATTGTTATGGAGATATAATAACACTGCAAGGTTGATTAGTTATTCTAAAAACCACGTGGATGTGGAGGTCACGGTAGAATGTCACCCCCCGTGGCGAATGACGTGTTATTATGGGTTCCCAAAAAGATCAAGGAGGCGGGAGTCGTGGGATTTATTGAAGAGGTTATCAACGCAATCCACACTACCATGGGTTGTCATTGGTGACTTTAATGATCTTTTGTTCCAGTCTGAGAAGCGTGGAAATAATCCACACCCAGAAAATTTGCTACGAGGTTTTGGAGAGACTCTAGACTTTTGTGGTTTGTTACAGCTGCATATGGAGGGATACCCGTACACTTGGGAAAGGCGTGAGGGTACGGAGGACTGGGTTGAGGAAAAGCTTGATAGAGCAGTAGCAACTATGGAGTGGCGGGAGTTGTTGGTAGAAGCCAAGACGGTTAATATACTCACACGTAAGTCAGATCACTCAGCGATATTTCTGAGTATTTCTAATCCTATGAGTTTCAGTGGAGGTGGTCGCCGGGCATTTCGTTCTGAAATGGCTTGGCTTCTGGATTCAGGTTGTAGAGGAATGGGTTGCTGAATAACCTACAGTTGTGTAAGGACCGTTTGCAGGCCTGGGGTGGTGATCGTTTTAATATGTTTGGTAAGCAGCTGAAATTATTACATGCCAAACTGTTGAAACTAAAAGGAGGCAGAGGCTCTACAATGCTGGCTGAGTACAATACAATCAAGGCTCAATTGTCCCGTCTGGAGGCGCAGGAGGATATCTATTGGCAACAAAGGGCGAAACAACATTGGCTCCGTGGGGCAGATGCAAATACCAAATTCTATCATAGGTATTCTTCATCTCGTAAGCGGAAAAATTATCTGACTAGATTAAAGGGGTGGATGGAAGCTGGTTAACTAAGGGTACTATGAATGCTGTTGTTATTGATTATTTTGTTGATATTTTTAAATCATCTAATGCCCCATCCCACAGTACTTTTTTTGATAAGGTGCCTCCTCGTGTGTCTGAATTACATAATGAGTCTTTATTGAAACCTTTTGTGGCGGAGGAGGTGAAAGGAGCTTTATTTGCTATGTTTCCGGATAAGGCACCGGGGCCGGATGGGATGAATCCAGGCTTCTATCAACACTTCTGGGGTGTTGTGGGAGCTGAGGTGACAGAATTTGTGCTCAATTGTCTTAATACGGGTGTCTTCCCGGAGGGATTAAATGATTCTAATGTTGTCCTTATCCCCAAAAAGAAGGTCCCTGAGTACCCTGCGAATTTGAGGCCAATTGCATTAAGCAATGTGGTCTATAAGATTATGGCTAAAATGATTGCGAATCGGATGAAGCCGTTTATGGATACTATTATTTCGGAATCACAGAGTGCTTTCATTCCTGACAGGTTGATAACAGATAATATCCTAATTGCTGCTGAGGTAGGACATTATCTTAATAGGAAGCAATGTGGAAAAACTGGTTGGGGAGCCCTAAAGCTGGATATGGCTAAGGCGTATGATAAGATGGAGTGGACTTTTTTGAGACAGATGATGAAGGCGCTGGGATTTGCAGAAAGATGGGTAGATTTGATTATGTTGTGTGTTACTTCGGTTTCATATAACATCCTTATAAATGGCGCAGTCGGAGGAGTTGTGGTGCCAACACGGGGCCTCAGGCAAGGAGACCCCTTGTCTCCTTATCTGTTTATTATTTGTGTAGAGGGGTTGTCCTTGATGTTACAGCAGGCACAGTATATGGGAGCTATACATGGATGTAGACTAGCAAGAGGGGCTCCAGCTATCTCTCATTTGTTCTTTGCAGATGATAGCCTCTTGTTCTTTAAGGCAGATGCCCAGGAAGGGGGTGCAGTTAAGCGATGTTTAGAGCTCTATGAAAAGTTATCTGGCCAGTCTATAAATTATCACAAATCCAGTATTTGCTTTAGTAAAAATACATCGGGAGAGATAAGGGGGAGGTGGCAGCAGTTTTTGGGGTGGCCCAGGCGATTGACTTCGGAAAATATTTGGGACTACCGTCGTTTATTGGTAGAAATAAAAAACAGGTCTTTGCTTATATTGAGGAAAAAATTCGACAAAGAGTCGGATCCTGGAATAATAAATTGTTGTCACAAGCTGGTAAGGAGATTCTATTGAAAACGGTAGCCCAGGCTATGCCTACCTTTTCAATGAGTGTCTTTTTACTAACAGACTCGCTTTGTGTGGCGATTCAGAGGACTATGAATAGGTATTATTGGGAGAAGGGGGCGTTAGCGGAGGAGGTATTCACTGGATGGCTTGGGATCGTCTCAGCAAGCCCAAAGTAGCTGGGAGCTATACATGGATGTAGAGTAGCAAGAGGGGCTCCGGCTATCTCTCATTTGTTCTTTGCAGATGATAGCCTCTTGTTCTTTAAGGCAGATGCCCAGGAAGGGGGTGCAGTTAAGCGATGTTTAGAGCTCTATGAAAAGTTATCTGGCCAGTCTATAAATTATCACAAATCCAGTATTTGCTTTAGTAAAAATACATCGGGAGAGATAAGGGGGAGGTGGCAGCGGTTTTTGGGGTGGCCCAGGCGATTGACTTCGGAAAATATTTGGGACTACCGTCGTTTATTGGTAGAAATAAGAAACAGGTCTTTGCTTATATTGAGGAAAAAATTCGACAAAGAGTCGGATCCTGGAATAAGAAATTGTTGTCACAAGCTGGTAAGGAGATTCTATTGAAAACGGTAGCCCAGGCTATGCCTACCTTTTCAATGGGTGTCTTTTTACTAACAGACTCGCATTGTGTGGCGATTCAGAGGACTATGAATAGGTATTATTGGGAGAAGGGGGGCGTTGGCGGAGGAGGTATTCACTGGATGGCTTGGGATCGTCTCAACAAGCCCAAAGTAGCTGGGGGACTGGGTTTTTAGGACCTAAAAGCCTTTAATCTTGCAATGCTGGGGAAGCAGGCATGACGTTTCCTTACAAAACCAGAATCTTTGGTTACAAAAGTATATAAAGCAAGGTATTTCCCTAAATCTAATTTTGTAGATGCTATTGTGGGAAATAACCCTAGTTATTGTTGGAGAAGTATTATGGCTGCCCATGAACTTGTATGTGGAGGGATAAGGAGGAGAATTGGGAATGGACAAACAACTTTGATAGGTAAGGATCCTTGGCTGTTGGACTTGGATTATAAGATCCGTACTGATTTACCAGGTAATATCAATGAGAGGAGGGTATCAGGTTTGATTGATCAGGATACTCGTACCTGGGACCTGGATATTTTGAATGATATTTTTGATCCCATTGATGTAAATCGAATCCGCAGGGTGCCTGTTTGTCTGGATTATGAGGACTCATGGTATTGGTATAAGGAGCAGAATGGATCATATTTTGTTAAAAGTGCTTACCAGGCAATTGTGGGAGAAATTCAAAATAACACTGGTTTTACTAGATGGAATGCATTATGGAAATTAGATGTGCCACCAAGGTGGAAAACTTTCTTGTGGAGAGCCTTAAGTGGTATTTTGCCAACTACAACAGCCCTGGCAGTTAGAAGAGTTGATGTGTCTCTAGCCTGTCCTATGTGTCTTGATTTTAATGAGGATGTTATGCATTGCTTAATAGAATGTCAATATGCTTGTTAAGTTTGGAATGAATCTTGTATTGATTTATCGACTGTAGTTGGTGGATCTTTTGTTGAATGTTTTCAGAATGCAATGATTGTGCTAACAAAGGAGAATCTTATTCAAAATGTTGCAGTTTTATATCATCTTTGGATCGTAAGAAACTCAGCGGTATGGGAGGGGAGTATGAAGATATCGAAGAAGCTGTGGTTGAGCGCCAAAGCAATCCTCACTGCCTGGGTAGCAGCTCGGTCACAAACGCCTCCAACAGCACAGCAGCAATATCACGCTGTTATACCAGAGGGGCCAATCTGCTACGTAGATGCGGCATGGAGCCAATTGACACGGACAGCAGCGTTTGGGGCAGTAATGTTAGATGGGGGTGGAGGCTTTGTGGCGGCAACGAGTGGTCGGCTTCCGTTTTGTGAAAATGCTATCACAGCGGAAGCTCTAGCTTGTAAGGAGGCGTTATCTTGGTTGAAAAATCGGCAAGTAACAGAGATTACAATTTTCACAGATTGTTCAGTCCTACAATCCTATCTATCCAGAGTTAGCTCGCACCCCAGATCATATGTTGGAATTGTGATTCAGGAGTGTCAAGTGCTTATGGCACATTTTAATTCATGTCTTTTTCATTTTATTCCTAGACGTTTAAATATTATTGCGCATACTTTAGCTTCTTTGGTCTCTGACCAGGACATTACTATGTATTGGGACGATATCCCTCCTGATGCTATTATTCCACACTTACAGTAATGAAAAATCGCAACTTTGCTTTCAAAAAAAAATCACTTTATTCCTTTTCTACAGAATTATAATTTATTCCCCTCCTAATTCCATCCTTAACTTCCAACCAAATGGCTTGTTACAAGCAAATGCGTGTGTTGAATTCATGAATTTTAATGCCTTTTATCGAATCAGATGAAGAGGGGTTACCTTGTTCCTGGTATTGTTGTCGATGAAAGGATACACAATCTTGTACAACGCCCAGAACAGATAAGGCACGTGAATAATCAAACATTTTCCCAGCCTTTCTGGATAGTAATCCTGCCATTAAATTACAAGCTAAGTTCTTAATATATGAGAAGATTGGCCTTGTTTGATGCAACTAGTAGATAAGCCATTTGTAATTCTTGGTAAATGTTGCGAGTCAATTGGATGAAGATAATTAATTAGTCAGGCAAGATCATAGTTCGGACCATATTAGGTCTTTGAAAAGATAAATTTTAGAATTCAGATTCTACGATACGGTAGTCTCAATTTAAGAATTATATTCGTTTGTTTCAATTTGAAACTAGATGGTTATAATTGCGAACCATAAAATTAAAGTTTATATACAAATAAGAAACTTTTATTGTACCAATATATATATATATATATATATATATATATATATATATATATATATGGTGTCATTTATGTAATATTGAAATTATTCTAATAGTAAATGATGATATTGGATTGTTCCATTGAAAATCATTTTAATAATACCTAGGACAATCATGTATTCAATAACACCAAGTACAATCTGTCTAAAAAAAAGTGAACGAATTAGATTTATACTTGAATACAATTTTAAAAAACTCACTATGTCATTTTTGTAGATATATATGTAGAACTTTCATTTCATCATTTAAGAAAAAATTACACCATTTTGACGAGAACATCAATATCGAAGAAAAAAATAGCAACTTTTTTGAGAAATAACACCATTCTTTTCAATGTACAAATGTTTAAATAAAAATATGGTGATATTTTGGGATATATATGCATAATTTTTCTCACATGCATTATTTTAAACTAAATAAGCAGAGGATCTATTCATCCTATGGTATATACTTAGTAGTTTTCTTTCCCTAGCCTCTCTCTAGGGTTTTTGTTTCCCTACGACTTTCTAGGGTTTTTGAATTTTTGATTTTCCCTCCGATGGCTTCTTGCCGGTGTTTCCTTGCTGCTTTGATTATTTTTGAACTTTCATGAGGTTCTTGGATGTATTGTTTCTGGCTTGCGGTTCGATTATAGCTACATCGACGATCGAGGAAGTGGTGGCAGATCTCACGGCTCGCTATGCGGATATTATATTGGAAGGGGAGAGGTTAGTTTGCTGCCTAAAGGAGTGGACGTACATGCAGACGTAGGAGGGAGCACCGACTCTTGGATTCTAGTCAGCAGGTTCCTCACGAAACGGAAGGTCAAGCATAAGTATATGCAACAAGTTATGGCATCTGTTTAGAGGCCTGTGAAGGGGGTACATATCACCAAAATTCAACTAGCTAACTTGTTCATGCTCGATTTCTTCCACAAGACAGACATGCAACGGGTCATGGATGAGGGGCCCTAGTCTTTCGAGAATAGTACTATGGTGTGCCTACAAATTAGTGTTGGGAAGTTTCTAGGACAGGTGGTACTTGATATGGTCAAAATGTGGGTGCAGCTTTATGACTTGCCGGTTGGTTACACGTCAGATGTGATTATTGAGCAGATAGGGAATTTTATTGGTACCTTTGTGCGGTATGATAATAGGCAGGTTGGGGGTCCTTGGAAAGTCTTCTATCGTGTTAGGGTTTCTATCCCCGTCGTGAAACCTATTAAACGTCGTATGACGCTAATCAAGCGTGAAAAATCGTGGAGTTGGGTGTCTTTCAAGTATAAGCGGCTTCATGATTTCTACTTCTTCTGTGGTTTGTTAGGTCATACTAAGAAGTTTTGTTTGAAGGCTCGTGAAACCTCGATTCCGGTTTAGCAATACCCGTATGGAGCTTGCTACGCACTGGATTGAGGAAAGGGCCGAGGGCGGTGGGTGACCGTTGGCTGGTTCCATGATAAGTGCCAAAGAAACTCATTTATAAGGGTATTTATGGGGTTGTTTAGTGCTTAATTGCTATCCTTTGTGGTTAATTTATGGTCTAATGTGCTTGAATGTGCTAATGTGTTACAAAGCTCTACCATATCTTGCACTTTAGTGTTTATGAAGGGAATTGAGCTTCAAGGAAGGCATATGGGCATGAACCAGAGCATCCCAAGAAGATGACAAAGCGAAGCATTTCAAGAGCACACATCCACGTTCGTGGAGTGCTCGTAGATAGAAAATAGTGAGTTCCACGAGTGTTATCCACGATCATGGACCCTTCGTGGTTGGAGAAAAAAAAGTTCCACAAGCAGGATCTACGCTCGTGGAGAGGAACACCAGGAGGTTTAAGTGCGCAATCCATGAGAGAGGCACGCTCGTGGATGGCTCATGGATGCAAGGCAGTGCGGAATTCATAGTGTAATTTTGGGGGAAGAGCTATTTAAGCCTAGATTAGATAGTTTAGTGACATCACTTTCATTACTTGCCAATCTTACATTCTTAGCTCTAGTTCTAGCTAGGTTTTTCTCTCTCTAGCCTCTCTCACACATTGGATTGACGATCATCTTGGTGAAGGAAGCTTGACACACTTCCTCAATCCAGGAGACAATTTTAGATTGAATCTCTATTGCAATTAAGTTTTGGTAATCTTTACTTGCTTTCCTTTAATTTCTTTGTTTAGTTGATCCTTGAATGCAATGACGATTCTCAAAGCTATGATGAGTGGCTAGATCTTTTATAGGAATTGAATTGTGATTTTATTGCATGATGCTAGTGTGAAATATAGTTCATGATTAGATTGTGCATTGCAATTGTGAACGATGTCTTATTAAAGTTTGGTAAATTGATTGCATCTTGTGAGTCCCGCCAAACTCTCTTGATAGTTCTAAAACAATTGATATAAGCAAGAAATTGCTAGATCAATTGTAGCACCAAGCCAATTGTTTTTCCTTGCTTTAAGATCTGAAAGACCTAAGTTAGGAATGAGGTGAAGACCAAGTGTTTGATGAAATGCTTCTTAGGATCATAGTCACTTAAAGGTGTTCTACACCAAGAAGAAACTTAGTAGACCAAGAGGTGAAAGGCATTTGTAAAGCCTCACTTGAATCACTCAATTGCAAAGCCACAACCTAGACTTAAGAAACTAGAAGCATCATGTGGTAGATGACCAATTCCATTCCTAGATTTCTTTAATTGCATTCCAATACTTGTTTTACTCTTGATCTCTACATCTTCAAGTCTTTGAATGCAAAGCTTGCGTGAACATTTATGTGATTAGCATGGATCTTATTCCTTAACTCAAACCAATTTAACACTTCTAAATTTGTCATCCTTTGAGAACGATAAAAACTCGGGACTTCAAACTCCCATCTTTTGACCTCTTATCATTCTGGCAGGTGGTCATCCTTGTAAGGTCGAGGTGGCGGAGTAGGGTGATAAGGGGAATGGTGTGGCGGTTTTAGCTGAGTTAGGAGATGGCAGTATTGTGGCAGTGGCTAAACGGCGTAAGGAGGTCTTGATGGATGGGGTTGTGAATGAAGATAAATGTGGAGGGGGTGATGTGGCTATGGCCGATGTCTCAACAAACTTGTGCATGGTGGGTTCTGGCTCCTAGACCCGCTCGTCATCATGAGTGTCCTTAGTTGGAACTGTCGTGGCTTGGGCAATCCACGTACAGTTCGTGAGGTGGTGGACATGGTGTCTTGTAAGAAGCCTGATTTTGTGTTCTTGATGGAGACTAAGGTGGGTAGGTTGCATGCTGAGCGTCTTTGTATTATTCTTGTTTTTGAGGACTTGTTCTATGTTGACAGTGTAATGTTGAGTGGTGGATTAGCATTTCTATGGAAGAGGAAAAATATAGCTATTTTGTTGAGTTTCTCTAGAAACTACGTGAATGTTACTGTTAGCCATTCTGGGTTCTAGCCATGGCGCATGACTTGCTTCTATGGTTTCCTGGAGCAGAGTAGGAGAAGAGATTCATGAGATTTACTTAGGTCTCTAGCATCTTGTTCTTCCTTACCATGGGTGGTTGTAAAAGACTTTAACGATCTTCTGTATCAGCATGAAAAACGAGGAAGGGTTCCTCACCCTGAGGGTCTCCTTCATGGATTTGGTGAATCTTTGGATAATTGTGGCCTTGTGCAAGTTCAAATGGTGGGTTACCCTTATACTTGGTAGGATGGGTACTGAAGCCTGGGTGAAAGATAGACTTGACAAAGTGGTTGTAACTGGGGACTGGTGTTCGATGCTTGAGAAATTTAAGGTAGTCATCATTCTAGCTCGCACCTCAGATCACTCAGCTCTTTTCCTTGGGGTCTATAAACCGTGAGATAGGGGGTGTGCCCAAGCGTGGGTTTCCATTTGAGATGGCTTGGTTGCTTGATGAGGGGTGTCGTAGGGTGGTGGATGAGGCATGGCGTGATAGGTAGGGAGGGGATTTGTTGGATTGTATTTAGACATGTTGTAATCGTCTCATGGAGTGGGGATGGGATCATTTTAATAACTTTGGGAGACAAATCAAGATCTTACGAGTAAATCAACTTAAGCTTAAAAGATGTATAGACTCGACTTCCTTATCAGAATTTCAAAGACTGGAAACCCAACTATGTCGTCTAGAGGCCCAGGAGAATATATTTTGGAGGCAGCGAGCCAAGCAACACTGGTTATGAGGTGTTGATGCGAATACTAAGCTTTATCACAGGTATGCTTCTGCCCGTAAACGTAAGAATACTATCTCTAGCCCTTAGGGTTGGGGTTCAGCCTTTTTGGAAGAAGAATACTATCTCTAAACTCAAAGATAGTGAATGGGTTTGGGTGGAAGGAGAAGGGGTGAAGTCTATGGTTTTGAGTTACTTTGAGGATATTTTTAGAACTAGTAATGGGTCCACGTGTGGTGAAGGCTTCTTTAGTTCTGTTATGCCTTGTGTCTCTCAGAATCAGAATGAGATGCTTCCCCACCTTTTAATGGAGAAAGAGGTGAAATCTGTGTTGTTTTCTATGTTTCCTGATAAGGCCCCAAGGCCTGATGGGATGAATCCTAGCTTTTATCAACATTTCTGGGATGTGGTGGGGAGGGATTTTTCGGCTTTTGTTTTGAATTGTTTGCATACTTGTATTTTCCCTGATTGTCTCAATGACACTAATGTGGTCATAATACCCAAGAAGAAGAACCCATAGTTGGTATCTAATTTAAGGCCTATTGCCCTTTGTAATGTTGTTTATAAAGTCATGGCCAAAATGATTGCAAATAGGATGAAACCTCTATTGGGTTGTGTGATTTCTGAATCCCAGAGTGCTACTATCCCTGCAAGCTTATTACTGATAATATTTTAGTTGCAGCAAAGGTTGAATAGGAAGCAGTGTGCAAAGGTAGGCTAGGGGCTTTGAAGTTAGACATGGCTAAGGCCTATGATCGTATGGAGTAGCCTTTTTTGCGTAACATGTTGAAAGCTATGGGTTTTGCAGAGGGATGGGTGGAATTGATAATGAAATGTGTTACTACTGTCTCTTATAATATAATGATTAATGGTGTCAATGGTGGACAGGTTTTTCCCTCGCGAGGACTCAGACAAGGTGATCCTTTGTCGCCCTATCTATTTACTATTTTAAAAGATATATTTACTTTGATAGTATATTATATATTTATTTATATTTACGTTGATAGTAGTATTATATATTTATTATTTTATATATTTCATCTTTAATAATTGAAAAATATAATTCTATCTCAAGATTTTACACTCGTTTTAATAAGAGGGTAAATGGGTGATCATGATCCCTCTGTCATCTAGATGAAAAAACCGATCGTGGACACAGAAGTCGACAGCTTTTTTCGTCCAGGAAAATATTTTTTAATTAACCAATTACCTTTTGGTAACCGATCAATTGACTCAAAGGTACCAATTTAATAAATTGAGATATCTAATTAAAATGTTTAATGGTTTAGAGGCCTAATAACTACATATGAAAAAAAAAATATATATATATATATATATATATATATATATATATATATATATATATATATATATATATAATTTAGTTTTTAAAATTAAAAATTACAATACTTTAAAATTTTGACAACGAGTTACCGAGGACGGGGCCCACCTAATTTCCCGCGGTGGTGCGGATGAGGACTATTTTCAATTCCCAGCGGGGGACGGGGTCGGGGTTTCGGGGACGGGGACAGGGAGTATACTCCCCGTCCCGTTGCCATCCCTACTCAATTACTATTTGACATATAATTTGAAAGTTTATTTAACCATATTCCCAATAAATAATAGGGGAAATGGTCAAATAGGTCATAAAACTTTACTTGAAAAGTCAATTAGGTGTCTAAACTCTTTAAAGTTTTAATTAAACCCATGAACATTTTATTTTGGTGCAATGAAGCCTAAATATCAGTTAGTGACCTGTGATCTAGGTCACTAAGGTTCTGGCACCATTTCCGATAAAAAATCAACCGCCGGTGTCGATCGCTTTCTCTAGCAACCATTTTTTGTCGTCTTCTTCGAAGAAGCGACTAGTTTTGGTCGCGTCTCTCTGGAAAGGCGACTAGCTAGTTCTAGTCGCCTCTACAGAGAAGGCGACCAAAACTTGGTCACCTTTCTCCAGGGAGGCGACCATTTGAAGGAAGCCCTTTTTCAATAGCAATCGACACTAGTCTCGGGAACCCTAGTGACCTGCTGTCACAGGTCATCACTAACTAGTTTTTGGCCTTTTTCTATAGCAATCGGCATCGGTCTAGGGAACCCTAGTGACCTGCTTCTGACACTATTACATGTAGTATCTGTTCATATGTTCATATATACTTTCTCAACCTACTAATCGGCACTGGTTTTTGGGCTTCTGAAACTATTACATGTAGTATCTGTTCATATATATCACTAACCGGTTTCTGCTATCGCATGTCATCACATACTTTCTCAACCTACTAATCGGCACCAGAACCGGTTTTTGGGCTTTTGACACTATTACATGTAGTATCTGTTCATATATATCACTAACCGGTTTTTGGACTTTTGACACTATTAGTATCTGTTCATATATATCACTAACCGGTTTCTGCTATCACATGTCATCACATACTTTCTCAACCTACTAATCGGCACCAGAACTGGTTTTTGGGCACTTTCTCAACCTACTAATCGGCACCAGAACCAGTTGGTTTCTGCTATCACATGTCATCACATACTTTCTCAACCTACTAATCGGCACCAGAACCGGTTTTTGGGCACTTTCTCAACCTACTAATCGGCACCAGAACCGATTTTTGGGCACTTTCTCAACCTACTAATTGGCACCAGAACCGATTTTTGGGCTTTTGACACTATTACATGTAGTATCTGTTCATATACCGATTTTTGGGCTTTTTTTTGGGCTTTTGACACTATTACATGTAGTATCTGTTCATATATATCACTAACCGGTTTCGGTTTTTACGCTAGTATCTGTTCATATATACTTTCTCAACCTACTGAAACCCAACAAGTCAATATCGCCTCCACTGAAGTTCGAACCCATGATCTCTCATTTGGAAGAATCAACTCATGCCACTTGATCACAAAAATTTTGACAACTTTAAAAAATCTGAACACCTAATTAACTTTTTAGATAAAGTTCAAGTTGTCTAGAGCTTCCCCAAATAATATAACTCCCCAAATAATATAACGCATGGAAACAAATGATTATTGTAGGTGAGAGATAAACCTGAAGAATGGATAGAACTCCAATATATCCACGGACATCACTGTTGGAATACCCATATCCTTGAAGATCTAAAATCATCATAAACTCCTCGTTGCCTGCTAATAACCTACAAATCAAATCCCAAGTGCATAAAAACAATAAAAAAAAAAAACAATAATCTTTTATTCAAACAGGGATCGATGCTCCTATATAATTATAACTTACCTTGCACAAACTTTGTCAAAAGCAAAAACTACAAAACCTGAAACCAAATTAAACAAGATTAACGTTAAAGATGACCGAGTTATGATGTCGGTGCCGAGTAGTGGGACAAATTTTACTATGAACCATGATTTATGTAGCAACCATAAAAAGCAAAATGATGTTGTAACAATTATCATTTTAGTTACACTTTAATTTCATTTGACAATATTTTTTTAATGCTATTGACTTTTTTAGCACGTAGTATCTGTGCATTAGGTTCGAACCTGAGACCTCTCATTTGAGAATTCAAAGCTATGCCGCTTGATTACAAGGCCTTTGGCAATACTGTTTTGTTTTGTAGTGTCAATTTCTATGCATACATACTAGTTTTATTTATTATAACAACACTAAAGTATCATTTTTGTTCTATTACCATTATTTTGACATTATATATTATGAGCTCTGTTTTTTAGTTTCATTTTTCACACACACTAATTTCATTTTGACAACACTAAAGTATCATTTTAACTCTACTACAATTTCATTTGACAATCGTATTAGACCATGATCCACATAGTGTTGTACGGACCGTAGTCCACTGTATAACAACGGGAGTAGTGATAAGGGGTCGTTATATCGTGGACCGCGGTGTACATGCACCGTGGTCAAAACGGCGTCGTTTCTTTAAGTAAAGAAACGGTGCGCCGTTAGTTTTAACGGAGCGCGCATTTTTTTGTATGTTAATTAGCAACTGACACTACAGTATATCTAAACTGACACTGCCTCACGTATTATTTTTATAATATCAAATGAAACTGCAGTTATATCAAAATGATACTGTAGTTGTAGTGAAATGAAACTGCAGTGTATAAAATGAAACTGAATAACATTTCACATATTTGAGTGCATATTGTACAATGAAGCTGTAGTTATATTGAAATGAAACTGTAGTTATATTGAAATGAAACTGTAGTTGTGTTGAACTGAAACTACAATGCATACAAAATGAAACTGAATAACAGAGTTACTTTTTGTGAAAGGGTGCGAAACAACGGAAAACGAATGCCGTTTCTTTTCATTAAACAAAACGACGTCGTTTTGATGCGATAATCGACTAAATAAGCTACCGTTAAACCCAACTGACGACATTAAACTAATAACCTAATACGGAGTATTTACTAACATTAGGTACTTAGTGACTATTCATTTTTCTTAATTAATTAAGGAAGATATTGCATTTTTAGTTCTTCAAGTATTCCATACTAGTTTCAGTTATTAATTTTTTGTCATTGTAATATACCTCTAACTTTTCAAATAAGTTACAATTTTGTAATCATTGGAGTAATAAGAGATTAAATTACGCTAGTGTTTTATTTAGCACATAAATATTTTAATATTTTATTTTTATTTTTCTTGTTTATAGCTTCTTTAGCTTCAATATTTTATATGCAAAAAATAAAAAATAAAAAAATTAGCAACCTCATTCTTTAAATTTCTCTCTTCAATTATGGTATATTGCCCTCATTTTCTCCCCTACACGAACCTATTAAAATCAAGTTATCTACTTTGAAAATAAAATATCAAAATTAAAGAGGGTTATAAAGAACAAATATAATAAATTATTAATATACCCATATACTAAAAGAACCCTAGGCCGGCATTGTTTTGTTGCTCAAAGCATTAAAAGTGTAACTTATTTAAAAAGTTACGGGTATATATATATTATAGAGACAAAAAATTAACGACTAAAGTAACTACCAGCTGAGAATACTTGGTGACAAAAAACTCATTTTTCCCTTAATTAAGAATGTGCCAATGTTCTATAAAGAGAAAAATTATTTGTTCTCTAATGCTGAGTACAAATTTTACCTGAAGTGGGGAATAAAAATGAGTATCCAGTAACAAATCACTTTTTTTTTATTATTATTATTATAAGGGAAAGGGATACCCAAACTACTAATCGCCCCCATTAAGGCTCAAACCTATCACCCCCACTTAAGAGAATAACTGAATACCATTGGACCACATTATCCTTGGTATAACAAATTAGTAACAAATCACTTTTAACTGGCTACTTCTATTTTATTTTATTTTTTGTTTTCTATTTTTTATTTTTGTTTTTGTTTTTTCTGTTCTTTTTTTTTTTCTTCTTGAGATGAGTCATATTAAAATTCTATGTATTTGAGTTAGATTATGACTCTCTATCCTAGTCTCCCTGTGATTCTCTCATTACATATATACCTGTAATCTGTATCTTTGTAATTATCTCATTCAATACAATTCATACAGTTCTCATCTGTATCATCTAGCTAAGGTTTATCGTTCCCATGGCTGACGGATTTGTTAATTCCTCTGAACGGACCGTCTCGATCAAATGTCACTACTGTTTCATCGGTTACTACAGTCGTACATTCACTATCCACCTCACACCACTTTATCAATATCAAACTGACATACAAGAATTTTTTATTTTGGAGGACTCAGGTTGTTCCGTTCCTCCATGGTCATGATTTTATGGGGTTTATCGATGGATCCAACGAACCCCTGTCCGCCGGCCTTCCTTCCCACTGCAGATCAACTCGGCGTGTGTCGCATGGGTGCGCCATGACTTTCTTTCCATGCTCATCTCCCCGCTGTCCGAGGAGGTGATGCCGCTCGCAATAGGTCGCAGGATGTCAAAGCCGTGTGGGACGCTATCGAGCATGCTTTGGCGTCGATTTCACGGGCTAGGTCGCTCAATCTTCTTGGTTAGCTTCAGGCCCTTCGACAAGGAGATTCCTTGGTTGCAAATTACATAGGGTGAGCTCAGGTGGTGATAAAGGATCTTGCGCTCGTCGATCGACATGTGTCTACGGTCGAAGTTCCAGTCACTAACAACTTCACTGGCCATGCGTGGGCAGCAAGTTACACTCCAAGAACTCACCGACTTCCTTGATGAATCACCCACTTGCTTGGTGATTCACCTACTTGTTTGTGAAGCTTTTTCACTGCCTAGCTGCTCACTCACCTCCTTGCTTGTCACTAACCAAGTAGCTCAAGCAAGCACCTCAAGCAACTAGCTTACTCAAGGAGACAAAGCATTAAATGCTTATGACAAACCCATGTGAAAGATAGCAAAGTTTTGAAGAAAAATCAGCCTACAATAATCAGATTTCATACGCAAAAAGGGTGGGGGGGGGGGGGGGGAGTTTATTTTGCAACTTGTAATTTTTAATTATTTACTTTATAGTTAAGGAATGAAACCTAGAATATTTTATATTTTTAAATCCCTTATTTTACCCTATAAAACCCCCATCACCCAATGGTTCAAATCAGCTTGTAACTTTTTAAATGAAATGAGATTTTCTCTCTTTTTTTCTTTGCATGAGAATTGCATTGAGTGTTTAGGTTGTTTGTGAGAAGCATTCAATCTAAATAAGCTAGTGAGAAGCTAGTTTACAAGCCGAGAAGGCATACCCCACTATCTTGTTCTTTATATTCATACACATACCCAAAAATCCCAGAAAGAATAGAACTACTACTTATATTACATAGTTAAGTTTGTTCTTATTTCTTATCTCAAGTGCTAGATTCCTGAGTCTAGTTCTTAGCCTTGCTTAATCATCTAAGGGTTGGGAAGATCATTGGTTAGTTAGGCGAGGCAATTGTAGAGTTCGGGATCTCAAAATCCAAGAGTCTACAAGGTAAGATCCTATATAGGACACGAAAGGTTCTGGAGTGATTCCATGGGTGTGAACTTGTTGTGAGAAGCAACCCGCGTACTCGTCAGTTTGGTATCAGAGCCAAGTTCCTTTTGCATCATTCTATCATTTCTATCTTAAGTTTCATATTTACTGTTGTTTATATTTCTTTTCCCTTATTCTTGTTTAGCTTTAATTCTATCCTTCCTATCTTTACTGTTGTTCTATTTCCTTTTCCCTTGTTCCTTGCATTTTTTTTTTTGTTGTTTTCCTATAAGGAGTCTTGTTTCGGTTACACCATCGGTTTTGTTAAGAGTATTGATTGGATTACCGTCGACTCTTAAACAATTCTGATTTTGGTTAAATCATCAGCTCCTATTTATAGCCTTTGATTTGGTGACCTTATAAAAGGTAGATACCATCTGGCATATTATATGTATTACTTATAGCATTTAACTTGGTGACCATATAAAAGGTAGATACCATCAGGCTTCTTTTATCTTCTACTATTGTGTTTTTACTTTACCACGAATTTTCCTTATTTAAAGGGGGATTAAACAAAAAACAAAAAAAAAACAAAAAACAAAAAAAAAAAGGAGGATAAGGTTGGTTTGATATTTAGTTTAAATTGCATTACTTGAAATCTTTTATGCATTGTTTCTTTCTATTATCTTTCTTCTAATTCACAAAAAGCCACATGTGTCAGTTTCAGACACACTCTGTGTTAGTTTCTACATCACTCCTTAGATATTATTTTCCACCTTCGTGCTTACTAGACTCACACTCTACAACTATTGGGTTTGCTATTTGTGGTGGATACAACTCTTGCGAGTTCTAAGCTTTGTTAAGGACCAAGATGACAATAACTAACACTTCTGGAAAAAGGTTAGTGAGGTTGCCAGCGAGGGGAGTGAAAAAAATATATATGTAAAGAAAATTGTGAGGGTGTGAATATTTCCTTTTTTATTTACTAACACCTTATTTTAGTGTTTTATACTTTAAAGAATTGCAGGTATGGCTAGTACTAGTGAACAAAGCAATATTTGTGCCCAAATAGAAGCAATGATGAACATGATGAGAGACCTTAGTAATGGCTGCAAAACATTAAAATGGAAATCAAAGGGTTAGAGTTGAAAATGAGGGAGTACAAAATCATGAGGGAAGAAACCAAGAAGTAAGGAGGGGTAGGGAAGTAGCTAGACATAATAGTTTACCCCGCATGCTCCCTAGGAGATATGCGGAAGAAATGGTAGATAATAATCTTAGCTCTTTAAAAATGGAAATGCCTGCTTTTAATGGAGATGATGAACCAGAAGTTTTCTTAAATTGGGTAGATGAAGTGGATGATATTTTTGGACTACATAACTTTGGGGAGGAT